AGGAAGGAGTCACTGTGCCTTCTTCATGGATTAAGTGTGTGTGTGTGTGTGTGTGTGTGTGTGTGTGTGTGTGTGTGTGTGTGTAATTGGGGAAGAAGTGAAAATATATATAAATTTTGTTATCTTATGCTAGAAAAATTAATAAAATGCCAGATATGACCCTGAACTAAAACCCAACATTTTCAAGAAACAGAAAGTTTCCTAAACTGTAAGGATAATACTCTGACATTTACCCCCAAATTACCATGTAATTATCCTCATCTGAAATATAGCTTGTTCTTTTCGCAAGTTCTGAGCTCTATGCAGAGCTGTCCAACAGAACATTCTCTGATGGTAGGAGCCCTCACCATAGTTTGCACAGCCCCAAACAACAGCCACATGTTGCCATTGGGTATCTGTAATTCCATGCAACCAAGGACAGCCACGTGTTGCCATTGGGTATCTGTAATTCCATGCAACCAAGGAAATGAAAAGTTTTCATGTCACCTACCTGTGGTTCTTTTATACTCAATTAGGTGCATATGGTAGTGCAGCTCTGGGAATTTTAATAAACAAGTTCCTGGATTCGCTCTTTGCCTGTATTCTGGCTCCTGCTCTGTTCCTCCCCTCACCTCAGAAATCAGCTCTCACAGGGCCAACTGCTGTCTCACACCTCCACAGCTCTGCCAATCCCAGCCCCTTTGTCTGAAACGTCCTTCCTTACCCACACTCCACCAGAACCTTGTTCAGATTTCATTTGGTGGGGAATTCATTTCTAGCCCCCATTCCCATGCCCATCTCAACCTCCATGGAAAGGAGCTATGATCACCTCCTCCGTGTTCTTCTGGATCTATTTCCATGGCTGCTCTGCCATTCAGTAGTTGTGATGTATTCTCTGTGGCACTAACCATCTACATGAACTTTGAGGACCAGACCTTCCTCATTGCTCATCCTAGTACTGTGAGCCAAGTCATCACATAATACAAATGTTTATGCTAAGTATTTTCTGATTACAGCATTAAAATTTAAATATGCACAATGTTCCATTAAAATAATTTTCAAAGTACAACCACTTCATGACCATAAAAACTCCTGGGACCAAAGTCTATTATAAAGCAAATTTTAAAACAATAAAAGTTCTTGATCAGTTAAAGGCGGAGCATGGTGGCTTCTAGTACTTCAGAGGCGAAGGCAGGCAGATGTCTATAAGTTTGAAACTAGCCTGGTCTACACAGTGAATTCCAGTCAAGGCTACACTGTGAGACCTCATCTCAAAATTAAAAAAAAAATAAATATCAACTAAATATCTGCTTCTTTCAAACTCCATAAATGTAGCGCTTCAGTACAAGCTAAAGAAATAATATGTTCCCTGAAATAAACCTTACCTGGAGCTACCTGGAGATCCCTTGAGCCTCAGAAATTGGTCTTGCTATTCACCTGCCCCCAGAACCCCATGCTGACTTTTCTGAAAGACCAGAATGAGGTTCAGAAGCAAAAGGACATAAGTTAAGACTCGTATTGACAAAATCATATGGGAATTTAAAGTAATCAGTCCTTGCTACATCTCGTACTCAATCTGACCTCTGAGGAAAAAAAATAATTAAAATCTTACCTAGCGTAAAAAATAATGGCTTTGGATGATGTGTGTCTACTCAGCAGCATATGTTACCCAAAAGGAATTGGGCGTCCCCCTTATTCCTTGGCAAAGCTTTTGCACAAAAAAAATCCCTTTTTTTTTTTTTTTGGTGTCTCATTTAGCATCTGTTACAATATTAACCTGGACTCATAGTCACAGTAGTTTGTTGTTTTTTTTTTTTAATCATGATTTCCCAACTAATCTGTTATTCACATTTTGACACAAGCATTTCCATAACTATAATTGGCGCCGAGTAGATACATTAATAATCCTGATTTCTATGAGGTCTTTCCCAAGAACCTAGGCCTCTGGTGAACACGCATTACAGACATGCGTCTTGCTTGCCTCCCAGGAACTTGCAGCTCACTAATGAAACAAGTGTCATTGCCAGAAATACACGACTGGTGGGCACAGCACGGCATGGGGCATCAACAAGAATGGATTCCGGAGAAAAGCATGAATCTAAGGTACTTCATCTTCGTGTCTGGTGGAGGCTGGCCTCTGCTTTTTCATTCACTTGGTGGTTTTGTTTTCTTTCAAAAGCACAAGCAACAGTTTCCATGCAAGGACTGAGTTAAGAAGTGACAGAACGCTTTAGGGCAGTGCTTCTTAACCTTCCTAGTGCTGTGATCCTTTAATACAGCTCCACATGCTGTGGTGACCCCCAACCAGAAAATTACTTTGTTGCTAGTTCATACCTGTGACTTTGCTAGTGTTATGAATCACAATGTTAATATCTGATAGGCAGGATATTGATATGCAGCCAAGAGGGACTATGATCCACAGGTTGAGAATCACTGCCTTACAGCGATACGATCATTAAGATACAATTCACATTTTTCCATAAAAATTTAAAAGGACTTTAAATAACTTTTTCTCCAATTTCCTTTTCCTTTGCCCAAAATATATCCCCCATGATTGTAATAAAAGATATTCAAAAAAAGATAAAGGTCTAAGTTCTCTTTGGGGTCCTAATGAATAATATGAGATAAATTTATTTCCTTAAGATTTCCTGAATTTAAATTGAGAAGTATCAATTTTAACTTCTATATAAAATCCACCCATCTGGGACAAATGCTGGTTAGTTCTAGAAATTGCTTTCTATGTGTTATTAGAATTGCCTCTAAATTCTATTAATATAAAATGTGCTTGTTACCAACTTGTGTCTGCTGCGGCTGGGAAAGGGAAGATCTGGTTTTCGAAGATGGTGTTATGAGGTTAAAAAATGAAGATGGTGACCTTAGGTCTCTCGGGATTTGTAAACCCAGCATGCCATCTATCTCAATAATGCCTAACAAGAATGCCAAAAGGACAGAAACAGCCATGGTGAGCGAGTGCTTGCAGCTGACAGTGATTGCTGTATTTGAGGTGATGGGGAACAGCATTTCCATTAGTTCAAGTGAAATACAATGCCCTGCCAACTCTGGGTATCAGTGTATTCAATCCCCCTGCTGTGCATGTCCATTTTCTGTTGCTGCAATTAAAAATCAGTCGATATAAAGTCAAAATGTTGTTCATTCTTCCCTATCCCTTCCCCTGTCACTGTTTCCAGCTTCACCGGAAGAACGTGTCACTATGGTAACCAGTCCCTTTGCTGCACAGACCAAGTCAACCTCTCTAGTCAGATTGCCAAGCAGACAAGATGGAATCAGAGGCCTGAATGGAGACACCAGAAGCTACAAATCCCATGCCCCTCTTTCTCTAAGCGGGGTAAACCAATACCAGACATAGAAAACCTGTCTTGTTCTAAAAGGTTCAAGGAAGGAAATTTAAGAATGTCCTTCAACAAATCTTGTCAGAGCTCACCAGTCATTATTAGCAGTTCTCCCCATCATTTCCATTTTACAGAAATCAGAAAACAGATTAAAAATGACACTGAAAATCTATCTGAAAACGTTTACAAAGTCCCCTTGTGAAAAAAAAATAATTCTGCTTCCTCTTGTTTTCCTGTTTCTCAGCCAAGCCCCGTAACCCTATACATTTTTGCAAAGTTGTGGAGTTGCACCTAGGTCGAGCCACACTAATAAAAGCCTCATCCCGAAGCAGGGGGATGCCTGTCAGCACCAACATGTCCATGCTTAAAACTGGAATCCCTGGTCCTTCCCACAAAGCTATGCAACAAATGCCAAGACAGACACTCGCTCTTTCTCTTTTGCACTGCTCTTCCTCTCTTCCTAACTGTGAACGGCCTCCTGAACTATTCCCACTAACCATTCTTACATGGTTGGTTGTTGCTGCTGTTGTGTGTGCGTGTGTTTTCAAATTAACAATTTTCTTCTGAACAATCTCAACGCTTTTGTAAATCAAAGTACATCGGTTCTCTCAGATATCATTTTAAAACATCAGTAAACTTTCATGGCGATATGAGACATTAAGAGTCGTCTAATGTCTTGGCTTCAAAGCACATTTGCAAATATTAGCACAGTTGTCAACCACTCACTAGTTGAGGAGAGTGACACATAAGGAGGTCTAAAATCTACACATCTTCCCAGAGTGCAGCCATCATAGAAGGGAATGCAGCCCCTCCTCAGAAGACATTAAAGCCCATCACATCAAACAGTATTTCAGGAGGCTGACGAGACAGGTTGGTTTCTAGCATATAAATCATACAGAATCTACAAAATTGCATCACATAAGCAGACTTTTCAATGCACGTGATCACATTCAAATATCTAGTGTTATTAGCAAATATTTGCTCGTGTGCTGTTTTATTTGCCTTGAGTGTTTTATAGAGATCTGAAAATGATATTTTTTCCCTTCTGATATACCCACTTTTGTGTTACTTTTTTGTGCTTATCAGACTGCTGGCATTCACTGCACACTGTCACTCTGTCAAACACTGCTCCAGAAGAAATAAAGGACTGTAATGGAATGCTACTGGATACCTGCTTTGGGCTCCTACAAGGTAGGGGCTGTAATGTATTGGTGTTTATATGACCAAGCGCTACACCATGACTTCTACAGTGCCTTACTAACTGTTTCTGGCGTGCACAGTATCTCCCGCAGGAGACATCCCCCATCCCCAGTTTCCTTTGATCAGATCAGTTCAACATCTAAAAACAGAGATTAAAATTTGGAGCCAGTTACCCACACACACACACACACACACATCTAGGGTTTCCTCCAGAAACACAACATTGGAGATTCCCTTCCTTCACAGAGGCTGATGAAGCATTATCCTGGATTTAAAAAAACAAAACCCTAGCCCAGGAGAGTGCATGCGAATCTGGACCCATAAGAGCAAGAC